ATTTCACAGGTATTAACTCATTTTATCCTCATAACAACCCTATGAATTAGGTACTTTTACATCATCAATCACCATCATCGTATTTTACAAATAAGAAAATTGATGCCCAGAAGAGTTAATACAGATTTTCTTGTTCAGAAAGGGAAGGTTCAGGATTCAAACCAGACAGTCGGATTCCAAAGGTCACACCCTCAGTCACAACTCTCTGAATCCCAAGCCCAGGTTTCCAGGGGGAATAATCTGATAGACTCAGCTTGTGGCAGGAATAGCCCTTAGGGTCCAGCGAACTGTACCAGGCAGGCGGGGTTATATAATTCAAACATGGCAGCTGAAGCCTAGGAACCAAGGGCTGGGGTGTGGGAGGAAACAGAATAACAGTTCTCAGAAAAAGTGGAATATTGCATGTTAGGCATTTACTCAAAAAGGTGTCTACTACATCCTATGTGGTAGGAGTTCAGATTCCCCATTTACTCATGAACCAATTGAAGATGAGTGGAGTTAAACAACTTGTTCTAGACTACACATGAGACAAGATTCAAACACAGGCCATCTAATTCCTAAGCCTTATTTTATTATAAAAGACTTTCAAGAGGACGATGGCAAGGACAATTGAGGGAATGTATTATGTAGCAGATTGTATTTTCCAAAAAGTGCTGTAACAAGTATCTCCCACTTCACATGATCCTAAAATATTAACTTTGACATTTCCCCTATTGAGATAAGAGGACTAGAGACCTCCTCTTGGATTTGGGAGGGCCTGTGTGACTATGGCAGAAGTGACATTACAGGAATTCTAAGTAAAGGTCATAAAACCTGATACAGCTTGCGCTGGTGCTCTTGAAATGCTCTCTTGGAACCTAGCCACAATGCTCTGAGGAAGTTCAAGCCTACATGTGCAGAGAGACCATATGGAGAAACCATGAAACTACCTAGAGAAAGAGAAATGGCTGGCCTGCTCCAGCTATTCCAGCCCCCCATGGTTCACCTCCAGTTACCATCTCACTATAATCTCATGATAGAACCAGAGCTAGAACTGCCCAGATGAGCCTTTCTCAAATTGTTTTAAGCTGCTAAGTTTTAGGAGAATGTGTTATACAACAACAGTAACCAGAACAGCATATTCTGAGGAACAGAGGTCTCCAGAAGGACATGAGAGCCATCTTCGAGTGTCTGAAGGGCTGTCATGTACAGGAGGAGTTTGACTTGGAGTGTGAAGATCTAGGAGGCAGCACTAACACCAACAATTGGAATTTCCAGAAAGGCAAATTTGATTCTTCATGGATGTCTTATCTAATTGTAGAAATTTAGAACAGTTGCCCAACAGTGAACATTCTGCCACCAGACACATTCAAACAGAGGGATGATCACTTTTGGGGATGTTGTAGAAAGGTCCAGAAGACCCCAAAGGTACTTTCCAACTCTAAAAAGATATAATTCCAAATGAGTTAAGGCTAAAAGTGTTTTGAAGAAGAAACATTTCATAAAACCTTCTTAGAAGAGGTGAGGACTAATTTGAGCCTTTAAAAGTGGAGAGGATTGGGAAAGGTGAAAAGCAGAAGGACGGACCACTCAGCAAAGAACCAATGAAAACTGTTTACTTAACCAGCAACACCAATTAATCATGCCCCTCTCATCTTAAGACCTATTCTTCTCATCCACTCATGGTGTGTTATGAACCATCATCCTTCCAGACTCTTTCTCAGTCACTTGCAACATTTCTGCCTCCCTCAGTCCTCACATCCGACTGATTGCTAAGTTGTTCCACTCTTATATCCACCATAAGTCCTGTATCTGTTCCTTGTGTTCCATTTGCAATGTCATTGGCTTTGCTCATGCAATTGTCACCTCTTATCTGGATGACTACAACAGTCCTCTGGATAGTTTTTTATGAGTCATTCCTCAGAATGCTCTGAATGTGTCAGTCTCTGGCTCTAAAATCAAAACCTTCACTCAGTTGCCAATGCCTTTAGAATAAAGTGGAAATTTCGTAGCAGGCATTCAAGGTTTTGATGATCTGGCAGAGAATGAAGGAAAAGTGGGAAGGAGAAAAGTGAAGAGAGAAAGGAGCAGGGAGACAGAGAGATTAAATCCTGCATTAGTTTAAGACTGCTGTAACAAATTACCACAAACTGTATGGCTTAATACAACAGAAATTTATTCTCTTACAGTTCTGGAAGCTAGATGTCCAAAATCAAGGTGTTGGAAGGGCTATGCTCCCTCTGAATGCTCTAGGGAAGAATCCTTCCTTGCCTCTTTCTAGCTTCTCAGGGCTCCTGGAAATTCTTGGCATTCCTTGGCTTGTAGCGGCATCATTCTAATCTCTGCCTCTATCTTCACATGGCCTTCTTCCCTGTGTGTGTGTGGGGGTCCAAACCCCCCTCTTCTTTTTCTTGTAAAGATACCAGTCATTGTACTGAAGCCCCATCCTAACCCAGTATGATCTCATTTAAACTTGATTACTTCTGCAAAGACCCTATTTCCAAATAATGTCACATTCACAGGTACTGGGGGTTAGGACTTGAAGATATTTTTTGGAGACAAATTCAACCCTCTATAATTCACATTGGCGGAAACTAAAGAACAATAGCTTACCATAGGGATGGAATCTTGCTTGTGAAAGGGTCTGGATAAAGTAAAGAATTTTAGGAACAAAGGAGGTAATATTAAATAGGGTAGGTCAGTTTACCAGGAGGGTTTTTTGTGTGCTGTTTTGGTGAGGAACATTCACCCTGAGCTAAATCTGTTGGTAGTTTTCCTCTTTTTTTGCTTGAGGAAGGTTAGCCCTGAGCTAACATCTGTGCCCTTCTTCCTCTACTTTGTATGTGGATGCCTCCACACACGGCTGACGAGAAGAGCAAGTCCACGCCCCAGATCCCAACCTGTGCCAACCCCGGCCACTGAAGCAGTGCACGCAGAACTTGAACCACTCTGTGACGGGGCCAGCCCCAGGAGGGTTTTCTGAACAATGGAATAGCATGCATGACCAAAGGATAAAATTTTAATTATGAAAAATCAGGATGGAAGCTGGATATAGAAGAGATTATAGGAGGAAAAGCTAAGAAGTTCAGGTGAGAGGATGTCTCAGTAGCCCAAAGGTGAGGAGGTAGGCCCAGAATTAGATGGTTAGACCTAGGGTGCTGTTAATTTTGCCTCTTTTGTTTAGCAATATATCGCAAGAACCTAGAACAGTGTCTGTCACATAGTAGGTGCTCAGTACACATTTTTTTCAATAGATGGATGGGTGGATGAAACAGGCTTTGGTAGTGGGAATAGAGAGGAAGGAAAGATGACATAGGCCTTTCAGAGGCGGACTGAAACAGCTGACCCTGAAACAAGATATGGGTGAAGAAGTATGAGTTGAGCATCACTTAAAGCCAAACCCATAACTTGTCACCTGTTGGAGACAGAACTGAACCTCTCCCATACCACCTGCCACAAAGTCTAGCATTCTATCTGACTCCGTGCTGTTTTTCCCACCAGAGAGAGTGCATCTTGGAGCACAGGATGCATAGCTTTATTCATGTTTGTGTGTGTCCTCCACAGCATCCTACACAGAGCAGGCCCCCAACACAACTTTCAATGAGCTTAAGAATAATTGCATTTCCACACTTAAGCAAAATCGCAAGATTTCCCCAGATCTAAACTCTGGATTTGGGACTTTTGTACGCTTCAGAATGCCTGGCACTCAGTAAGCGCCCCATAAGCACTTGTTGAACCAAACAGAATAAATCAGATTCACCCAGTTCCGCCCTGGCAGCGAGGTCTGCATTTGGCAGGACGACAGAATCCACCGCTATTAAATTCTTATGTAAGAGTTAATGACCCTCCCAGCCCACTTGACATCTCTCCCACGACAAGGGAAGTGGAAGGGAAAGGAAGCGAGAGCACTGTTTACAGACACACACTCTTTCGGTGGTAGATGCACAGATTCATTTCTAACCTCGGGTCGCCGCAACGTTCTTAAAATACCGCTGCGGGCGCGGTGGGGGCGGGCGGAGGGGCGGCGTGCCGGCGTTGCGGCTGAGGCGTGTTTCATTCCGTGGGTAAGGCCTGCCCACCCGGCACGCCCCAGGGCTCTGGGTCTGCGGGTGACAGCGGCCCCCGAAGGTGACTCGAGTTCAAGGCGGTCCCCGCGGGGTCCCCGCAGGCGCCGGTGCAGGCTTGGCCCGGGAGCCCCCGCCCGGGAAACAAGGCGTCGCGCCCCGGATTCCAGCGGCCCCTGAGCCG